TTTTTACAGAGAGAGTAGTCAGGCATTGGAATGGGCTGCCCAGGGAAGTGGTGGGTTCTCTGTCCCTGGAGGTTTTTAAGAGGAGACTGGATGTGGCACTCAGTGCCATGGTCTGGTAACCACGGTGGTGTTGGATCAAGGGTTGGACTTGATGATCTCGGAGGTATTTTCCAGCCTGGTTGATTCTATGATTCTATGATGTATTTTGTGTTTCTGACACTCAGTTTAGATTTGTTAATTGTCAAATATTTTTGTGGTTTTGTATTTATATAAAACTAGTTAATGATCACATGGATTGATACATTATTTCTTTTCACGAAGTCTGTAAAGAAAATGTTGTCTTGCTTTTTCCAGCTTGCCCCTTCATAGATTGATTGGTAAATAATTTCTATACTGAATAATTTCTATACTGAATAGTCCTCTAGAGATAATTTGAAATACTGATTCTTACTATAAAGATATTGTGCTGTTGCCAAATTTAGGGCGAGGGAAGAAAGGAAGAAAAATAGATACAAAAAGGACATGCCACACTAAAAATTAAGACACTAGGCTTTGAAATGTAGAAGGCACAGGACTTAGCTGTAATGAACAATGTAAACTGAGGTGCTTCAGAAACTACTGAACTAGGGGGAAAAAGGCTTTTGTCATCATTACTAATTATTTAAAATTTCTGTGCTTCAGTGATATTAACATTACACATGGAGCCACGTTTGTTCTGTCTATCTAGGTGTTTCCAATGTGTTGTCATCACAGTATGTAGGTGCAATGATACATAAAAGGTAAAGATCAAAGTCTGATCTCAGTAATATGCTTTTACAATGGAGAGTGCAGTAAGGACAATTACATTGCTTCTTCCTGGAAAAAATTACTTTTTAAAAACATATTAAATATTCTTACTTAACTTTCAGGGTATTTTGTCATCGTTGCAATACCTTTTTGTCTGCTTTTGTTTTATCCTTTTTTTTTTTTTAACTTAGTGAGGGCCTTTATTTATTGAGGGCCTTAAATTCAAGGTAGGCAATAGCAATAATATTTTTTTTTAGTTCTCCTTAACTTGGGTAAATCCGTTTCTTGAACAATTCCTTCACCTGTCATAGATTCTTCTATTTTTCTGGGTTTAGAACTCCTTTTCTTATTTCTAAGATTGTCTTCCTCATTCCAGGTAAAGATTATCAAACTTCAGAAGAAATTAATTTTCCTTATGTTGAATCCCTGTCATGGTTTAACCCCAGCCAGCACCTGCACCCCATGCTGCTGCCCACTCCCTCTCCCACCAGTGATATCAGAGGGAGAATCAGAAGACCAAAAGCTAGAAAACTTGTGGGTTTAGATAAAGACAGTTTAGTTGGAAAAGCAAAAGCCACACACACACAAGCAAAGCAAAACAAGGAGTTCACTTCTTCCCACGGGCAGGCAGGCGTTCAGCCACCTCCAGGAGAGAACGACCCCATCACATGCAACAGTTACCTGGGAAGACAAACACCATCACTCCAAACATCCACCCTTCCCCCTTCTTCCCCCGGCACTGTATATACTGAGCATGATATCTTATGATCTGGAATATCCCTTCGGCCAGCTGGAGTCACCTGTTCCAGCAGTTCTCTTCCCAACCTCCCATGCACCCCAGTCTCCTCACCAGAATGGCAGCACAAAGAGCAGAAGAAGCCTTGTCTCTGTGTAAGCCCTGCTCAGCAATAACAAAAATACCTCTAGATTATCAACCCTGTGTTCGGCACAAATCCAAAACACAGTCCCACACCAAGCCACTGTGAAGAAAATTAAGTCTAACCCAACCAAAGCCAGCACAATCCCATATGCACATTGTAGCCTTCAGGATTTTATAAAGTCCTGACAGCAGAAGTAGCCCTTCTAAGGCTATGTTCAGAGTGTTAACCTGAAATAACTTTGTGTTGAGATTCCTCACTGCTATCTTACAAAACACTCTTAAATACATTGATAAACCTATTCCTGTTAGTACCCAGTCAGAGAAAGCCTTTTGTGCCCTTGCACAAAAATCCTGTGGTGTTCAGAATACTTTAAAAATTGTCTTCTACTGTCCGACATTATTTAATAGCAATTCTCTGACCCTTCTCTTCTGCAGTCATTAGATGCAGGTGAGGGGTTCATGAGTTGCTGTGAACAGTTCTAACACAATATACGCTCAAATTGGATTTTACGAACTTTTGTGTTTGGCATGAAACGATGAGTGGTATTCACCTTTCCTTATGTGGGAAACATCCCACTAAAAAGGGAACATGAACAAAATACGTCCTTAAGAGACACTGATTTACACTGTGGTTTTCATTTTGGAAGCAAACCTCATATTTTAAGCAACATATAGAGCCTTGGTTGTTGGTTTTTTTTATTCAAAAACAGATCAGTAGTCCACGTTCAAATGGGAGCATCGTTTAGAAATTGCAAATGTATATAATGAAGAGATTTTTATGTTACATTAAACTAAATTATAATGTCATCATTATAAATTATTTCTACATATTTTGTCTGAAATACTACTGCACTCTTTGGTATATTGTAGCTTAGAAAGGCCAGATTAAGTATGTAGATATCATGGTGTGTTTAGCCACAAGTGAAGTACTTTGTTAAGTGGGTTTGGTCACTCACTGGTTCAAGAAAACATTTTAAATTTGGGGGAGGGTTGTTTATTTGTTTTTGTTGGTTTTGTTTTGTTTTTGTTTTTTTGTTTTTTAGATTACCTACTAACTTCCTGAACTCTTCATTCCAGTCTGTAATATAAAGCAAATGTATTATGCGTGTTATTTTTTTGAGGGAGATCAGCCAAGTATTTTCCCAAAGAAATGTTTATCATAGATTTAGAGCTTGTGTATTCATAGTCACTTGTGTAAATGGGCTCCCAAGATGTCCTGAATATGGTTTTCAGTATGCAGCTGTGTTCTCCTCTTGAGTGGAAGAACTGGTCATCATGGAATCCCACGACTGTGGTATCTAATAAAAAATTCAGTCTTGTTGCAAAAAGCACAGTCCCTTGAGGAGAGCTGCTAATATGTCTTACTTAGACACAAACCTCATGAGACATTATGGAACCATTATGTCTACAAATATTTTGATTTTTGGTGATAGGAAATATCAGCATTTGTTATTAAAAGCAGTTATTATGAAAAATTAATATAATTGTAGACCCAGTTTTCTTTTGAAGCAGTTCTGTAACAGAGTTTTCATTCATTTCTCTCTCCCTGCCCCCCCCCCCCAAAAAAAAAGCCACCAAACCCCCACCACACCAACAAAGAAACTTACAATGAAACAAAAATCGGTGGGATTTTTGTAGGGTTTTTTTTGTGGGCAGCTGGCATAAACACGCTGTTATGCTTCTGTCAGCAATGTACCAAAATATTGAGTTTGCCAGGAATCAAAAGATAATGCTGAATGACTCTGAGTCTAAGGGGGAAGGTGCTCAAGTAGTGATTTGCAAGAAATAGATGGCAGCTGTTTCCATATGCCAGTGTCACTGTGGAAAGTGTTTGGGCAGTCTTTGTTCCCTAAACCTCCAGCACAATCCTTGAGCCACAGTCTCTAGTCATATCAGGGAGATTTTGCTCAAGAGTTCTCTTCTGTTATTCACCCTTCCTGTAGACTACAACCTCTTTGTTGTTTCAATTATATCCTAAAGTTTTCATCAGAAACCCTTGCCCAGAGAGGGCACAGAAATGAGTTGTTGTGTGACAGGAGTATATGGCTTCCTAAAATGAGGGGTTAGATTCGCTTCAGATTAAGTATTTGGGCCTTAGGCTATTCTTACTGTGCTCTGACTGTGCTTTATGTTTTTCAGCTCTGTTTCTTCAGTTCCTTTTGCTTTTCCTTTGACTTAAACATGCTACTATGTGTGCTTACTCACAGTTTTTCTCCCTAGGCTTGAGCAGGGGATGCTGAAAGGTTTTCTTCTCTCTCTCTAAACCTCAGCTGAGTCCATGGAAAGATCTTTATCCCTTCTTCTGGAAGAAGGAAGAGCACTGATAGGTAGAAGCCTCTTTTCCCTGCTGAAGCATTTCTCATTCAGATCTTTAGACTGCACCATTCTGGAATCAGCCTTGTAGTGAGAGATGCAGTATTGGAACAACCACTCAATGATAATTTCAATTGCCTTCTGAGTACCCTAGAAATCACTGTTCCCCTCCCTAGAAGGCCTGTGAATTTTCAATATAGTGAGGCAGTCTTCAAGAAAATATCGAAAATGTGGTTTGTGCTGACTAACCTCAGGGAATTAAATATATATATAAAAAATGCCTATTCCTTCATGCAGTGCACAGATTTTATTGTTTCTGGAGTTTTGTGGTTTTGTTTATATTTTGTTAAACTTCAACTGCTTGGAAAACTAGGTCTCTTGGTGTTTTTTGTGCTACTATGGATGAGGCTGATGCTGGATACTAGCCAACGCTTATTATCAGTGATTTTAGTGATTCTTAAGTTTTCACAAGTCACATTTCTTTCAAATAGAGGATAAAGCTAATTGTTATTTTATAATTACATGAACATGCAAGAATTTTTTTTAGCCTTTTCATTTTGTTAACATTTGCCTTAATGAAATAAGAAAGTATAGCCATTAATTGTATCTTACAGTAAATCTTTAACTAATATTACTGATGTCCCTAAAGGACTCGTTCTTCAGAAAATCTTAAACCTTGTGTTGGTCTGGTAAGAATAAAGGATTGTTGCTGATACTTTTTCTTAAATATGATCCTGTTTCATAATGCTTTTTGCGGCATAAACCTGTCACTTCTGGCTGCACATGCATTGAAACACATGCTGTGTACCATAGTGTCATACTGTGTGACCCAGAACAGTTTATCTGTTCTTTTTGGTTAAGCTAAACTTAGATGCAATTGCAGCTTAAAAGTACAGGATCTCTCCAATATGGTGAGTTATGGAAAGAATTGAATGTTGTTTTTAACTCCCTTTAGGGGAAAAAAGAAAAAAAAAAGCTTTTAAGTGATTCAGCTTTTGTTTTTTATTTTGTGTTTCACCAGTTGAAAAGATACAGAGCCAGTGGGATGAAGTGCATGGATACCTTCAAGGCCGGAGACAGCAGCTTCATGAGATGTTAAAGGATTCAACACAGTGGCTAGAAGCTAAGCAAGAAGCTGAGCAGGTTCTTGAACAAGCAAAAACTAAGCTTGAGTCATGGAAAGAAATTTCCTACACCGTGGAAGCTCTGAAAAAGCAGAACACTGAGCTTAAGGTCACTACTGACTATTAAAATATTTCCATTTGAGTTAATTAGATCATTAAAGAAAATGTCCTCTGACTGTTGTCCTCTAACCATGGACAGTGCACATTGAGAAAAATCTTCCACAAGAAATTAGAAAGAAATTAATTTACAAAGTCTAAAATATGTGTCACATAATCCTTGAACATGAAATTGGTCTTATCAGTCATAACAAATAGCTGGCTAATCTTTCAGAACGAATACCTACCTCTTCAACACAAGTATTTCTTGTCTCGTCTGTTCAACAGCCCCAGCTGCACTGGTGCTGCAGACTGGGAAATCCTGTAGTATTGGTATGGCTGTCTGCACTCTTAATGGAGCTGTAAAGGTTGTCTGGAAGTAGTTCAGGAAAAGGGGGAAAAAAACCCCAACTGTAACAAACTATATGGAGATATTTTGAAAATCAAGCATTTTATATTTGCCACAGGATAATCTCCCTGGGCTCAGCCTTGGCAGGGTTATTAACTGAAAAAAACCTGAATTGGCTGCTCTTGTGATTTTAGCACACATGTTGCCACATTCTAGGTGCTAAAACATGTGCCTCAGTTAACTTACATAGCTGAGCTATACCTCAAGTAGCAATGCAAATATTCTCTTTTGCATAAGTTTTTAAGTTTCTTGTACTGGAAACAGTCATACTTTGGTGACATTCTCCATGAATAAATTTTGAGAACAGCTGTTTAAGATTAATATCTCATTTTCTAGTTGGGGAAAACCAAGATTGAAACCAACCAGTCGATCAGCCTTTAAAGCGAGTCCCAGCTTCATGGGAGAATAGTTACACAACTATTTTCTGATATGTTCTCCTCTCCTGCACATCAGATTTTTGTGGGTTTTCCCTAACTCTTGCTACTGAACTACTTGGTTAAAGTTTGTGGACTTAAAACAGTCTTATTTACACAGCTGAATAATAATGAACTGCTGTGAATAGTGGGGTGAGGTCCTCATCAACTAATTTTGCTGCTGGAGAAAGTATATGTATAACTTCATGATTGGTCTTCATCTACTTCCTGATAGAAGTAGATACAAAATCTATTGGGTTTTTTGCCCTTTTTTTTTTTTTGCTTGCCCATAAGAAGCATAAAACTATTCATCAGCCCATTCTTTTAGGGCTGAGATGTGGTTAAGATTTCTCATTTAAGATTGTACCATAAGGGTCATTTCTTGGGAAGGGTGGATTATGGTAAACAAGGGCAATCACTCACTAATGTATTGAAAAGAGTTATAGATCATGTACACTGCTGTCATTCAGCATAGAGGACTCCCATTTATCACTGTCTTCCTGCAGAGATAGAGTCCTGGCCTCTGCCCAGTGTTTGTTTAAAATAAAAAGAAAAGCTTCAACAAAGTCAATGTCCCAGTTCTGCAAAGACTCAATTAACAAAAAACCAGTTCCGTACAAACACAGTGTTCTGTCATTGTGTTCAGTGTCTTATGTCTCAAACACAAATTACCTAACTAGGAAAATAATTGAAAATATTGTTTTAGAAATGGATTTTATGTCCACTTTTTTACAAGAATATATGAAGTTTAAATGAGTTCCCTCTAAGAGTGTATGCTTTTTGAAAAAATTATGGGTTATTTGGGATCAGCATTATTCAAGGAGAGAAATAAGAACATCCTGTTTTTCTCCTCCATCCTCAAAGTCATAGAGAAAGAATACTAGTATCCTTATTCAAGGAATGTGTCTCTATGTATAATAGTTTCTGAATGGAGACCTGCAGATTCTTTTCCCTCTTTCTTCGAAAGCACTTGGGCTATCTGTATCCTCAGCCATTCCTATCACAGTCATATCACATTGCATTCAATGTGGTACGTTGTGTCAAGTTACAGATATTAATCTATAATTATAATTTCAGTGTCACAGCTAGTCCATCTTAAATTGTGCCCTCATGATGATTTGAACATCAACAGGCTCTACTCTTCCAGAGTTGTTTACTTTCATTTATTTTTTATGCCTAGCCTTTCTCCCCCAAGTCTAGAAGAAAGTCTGTCTTAGTGAATTGGGTGTGTGTAGAGTAGGGGGGTTTCTTTCTTTTTTTTCTTTCTCTTTTTTGTGTTTCTCTTGTGCCAGCCTTCCTAGAGGAATTACCTTTGTCTGCCAGTAACTCCTATTGTGTCAAATCCCTCATGAGAACTTCTCAGATGTGACAGCCTCAGCTGTTGTGTTCACGCTTGAGATAAGGAGTCACGAATTCTAAGGAAAATGGAATTTTTTTTTAATTCAGCAGCTTTATGTTTCTTCTGGATAGCATTATCTAAATTGAAGGACCTAGAAATACATTAAGTTATCAAGATAAATGCTTTCCAGGCTTCTGTGCCAAACACATCTAGTTTGATGTTGTCCCCCAAAGATGTAGGGTAAATATGCTGTCTTCTGGCTTGCTGTTACACTGATGAGAAGGAAACTGTCGTTTCTATTCCTTTGTGTTGAGGGAAAAGAGAGAGGTCAGTGTAAGACAAATAAATTCTTCAGACATATTAATTTTGTCAGCTTTGTATCTCAACACAGCTTGGTGTGAGAAAGTAGTCACCAAGTGTTCTTCTGATTTGCTTGTTAAACACTACAGATCTGCCTAAAGACAGTTGGGTCAATGTGTAAGTTCCCCTCTACTCCATGGAAACTTTTAATTAGTGCTTGTGGTAGTGCATTTGTGTTTGGGCATCCTTATACATGAGTGAATGCTAAACTCAGCAATACCAGTCTTTTGATTATTTAACTTTTTACAATACCAGTATAAACCAAAAACCTGTAACTGGCTTGTATTTGACCAGTGATGTTTTTAACAGAATATGGCAGTTTTGTTTCTGACATTTAAAAGAGGAGTAATGAGGTAATATAGCTAATAATTAAAAATATTATTAATTTGAATCAGAAATTAGTTCAGAGCCAATTTGCTGATGATTAAAGCCTTTTTTTTTTTTTTAGTTTGATATTTGATAACTGAATTAGTGTTAGATGTAGAGAATCATAATATGGCAATATGACCAATGAAAGTCTTTACCATTAAGCCCTCTTTGTTATTGTTCATTAGGTGATGACTGCAGATGGTTAACTCAGCAGGCTGAAGGTTATAGGTGTATAAATAGTACACAATCACACCTCATCTCCCTCAGTCACCAAGTCATCAGAACATAAGCTAGTCTAAAACTAGTCTTTTCTTAATAGGATAGTGAGCTTCTGTTTAAAAGAGAAAAAAAAAGTCAAAAACCCCCACCAAAACCCCAAGTCAAACAAAACTGCTATGACTGCCCGTTCACTCCTTGGCTCCTTGTTTTTGTAAGAGGAGCTAGTGGGGAGTCTCTTCTCCCTCTGTGACAGTTTAGCTGGGATGGCCAAAGTGAAGAGGAGGAAGGATGGAGACCATGTTTCATTCCTTTCCTTCATTGACCATTTATTACTCATTCATCTAGATAGGAAATTATATAGCATCTTGATTACATCCCCTGCTCTGTTGGGACTCAAGAGGCCCGGCAGCTTTCCACTGGCATAACCTGGAGAGTGAACTTTATGCCCTGAATTTGTGAATAAGACTGAGGCTGTCCTGCTTGCCTTTGTCAGCTTCTTGAAGGGGAATAACTTACTAAGTACTTTTTTGTCACTCCCCAGGTACTATATAGGATGAAGTACAGTCTCAGCATTTTGTGGATTTTTGTTATTCCAGGGCTGACAGTGTACTGATTTGATTTTAGTAAAACAATTAACAATTAAGTTAATGTTCCTGAAAATGATGCAGATGCTGAAATAGAATTCCTTGGTTTAAAAAAAATTCTTTAATTATATAAATAAAACATACTGGATATACAGAAAAAAGAAAGAAAGCCTGATTTTCCAGATTTGTGATACATACACGGAACTGGATGATGCTGTACATACAAATTGCTATATTTGAACTACTGTGCATCATTGATTTTGTTCCACTGGGCAATTCTGGGATAGAAGAAAACCCAGCTCTAAATTCATTACTTGTTTTTAATCAAGGATCCTTAATTACACAGACTTTCTTCCTATTAACATCAACTAGTGTCTTCTAATTAAAAATTATAAATATATTTATACCTAAGTAACATGATAAATGCACAGCAGTAATTCTTTAAGCCTTTTAATAAACTCAGCAAATTCCAGTGATAGCACAGACAAAACAAAGAGAATGCTTTAAAAATGTCAAAAAGAAATTAAGGTAATGAAGCATTTTTCTTTAAAGAAAAAACAAATGTGTTCCTAAGTAGCTAAAAGGTAAATGAGACCTAAAAATATAAAAGAGAAAAGACAAAAAAGAAAAAATACCCTGAAGTTAATTCTGAAATATACATTATAGTCATGTAAGATGGCAGTTAGTGGCCTTCTGGTCAGACAGACAGGTAAAACACGTACCACAACACTTTGTTCTCAGTGTCTGCACAGAGTGAAGTTGAAGCATGCACTCCTCAAAGCTGTTGAAAAATTGCATACCAATTTCCAGTAAAATAGATAATACAAATTGTTTCCATCAGCAAACCTCTCTGTGTTCATCATTTGTTTCCTGAGTGATGACCTCGTGTTGTAGTGTCAGGAAGTTAATGGATTAATGTTGAAGTTAATGGTGAGAACAACATATTTGGAAATAAACTTGTAATGGATATTTCCTTTTTTATTATTATAATACATGATTTGAAAGCTTTTATGAGGTCGTTTATGTTCACATGGGACTGGGCAAAAGAACTTTTTTTCAAAGTAAAGTTTACAGACCATTAATTTACAATCCAGGCAAAATATTATGGTAACTTTGCTAGGTAAAGCAGTGAACAGTTAATCTGCTGTGATTCTTTGGCTGGAACAAAACTAGCTGCATGCCTGTGTAATTTTGAACAAAGAGAAAGGTAAAGATGGATAGACCTAGATGTGGAATAGATACTTGTTATAAAAGATTTACAAAAGTGAAATGATAATTACTGTAGAATTGATTTAAATTTTGTGTTATATATATTATTATGTTTGTATAAATATTAACATTTATGTATTTATTGTCCATAATTCTGGCAGGAAAGAGCTCAGTTGAGAGCCTATTTCCAAAACAACCACCTGCCTGTATCTTTCTCAAAGAAATAGTAGTGGTTTTCCACAAAATCATCACGTCTCCTAATTACATCTCCTTACTTAATGGAGGAGAATGACTTAAAAAAATTGTTTAGGCAGCTTCATCATAAGTGAGCTTAACGGCAACATTTTCAGATGGTTTGGGGGATTAGGGGTTAGTAGCCTCCTCCTGATGTTTGATCATTAGAAATAGAATCCCTTGTTCAAAAGAACCGAGTTGCTGTCTTAGTACCTGAGGGTGCACAGTAGCTGAGTGATCTGCCCTCTCAGGAAGGAATAACACAGGAAAGACAGGAAATACATGTTTTCAGTTTTAAAATATGGAGAGGACCTAGGGATGTTGAAGCAGCTTTTTAAAAGGTAAGAGTTGGGAGGAAAAATTAAAACTCTTCAAAACTCCATCTGAACTCTCTTCAGAGATCGAGTACATTTTCGTCCCAATCTTAATCAAAATCATTTACAGACCTTCTGAGAGTAAAACATAAATGCATAAAATATTCAAAATTTATTTAGTTTTACTTAGTATTTAGGCTCTTTCATCAGGGATTACATATGTAAGTTCAGATTTCTGTGGAGAATTCCTTATCTGAGTCAAAACAAGATTTCCAGAGGAATACTGCTTTGGGAGAATGAGAAAAAAGCTATTTCTTCTTAGTGGCATTTCCTGATTTGTGTATTAAAGCACAACAATAAAGACAGTAAAATCTTACTGTTTGGGTTTTTTTGCTGATAGCTTCAAATGTTTACACACAACTTACTATTTCTATTTGCAAATACAAACTTTTTTCCACTTGCATTGTCCATTTTATTGGCTAGTTGGAGTCTGCCTAGTACAAAAGTATAAGTAGACAATCAATTATCTTTGCTCTTTCATTTTGTTGTTACACATTATGAATTAAATATGCAGCTTCAGTGCATTTATATGGAAATTTGCTCTGAGAAAGAGAGTAACAGGAAAGATGCATGGGAGCTGGCTCCTGATTGAATGAGTTTCTGGATTTCCTGGCCTGCTTCTGGAATGAGGCAAGTGGCATAGGTGGAGAGAACAAAAAGGAGAGGAAAGGGGGAAACAAAGAATGACCAAGATTTAAAAAGCTTCCTTAATATTAAAAAGTGGAAATTAGCATTATGAAGATATTGATGAGTTTGTCAGTAGTATTTTGCTGTATTGCAGATTTAGTGCTGTTCCAGTAGATGGCACTAATTACATAAACAATTTGTTAAAATGAACTAAATTATAAAAAATAATCTGAAAGCACAGGTCTTAATTGTCCAAATCTCACTATCATTTCACAGCATTATTTCACTATATTTTCCATCTCAGTATAATTCAACATCACAAACTATCATAGTTTTCATAATGCATAATACTGCATCCATCATCTTTTTGTGTCTCAGGAAAGAATAGTCAACATTGTAGTCAGTGTTTATCAGTTTGGGCTGTCATGTCTTATCCAGCATTTAGGAATTTTTTGCTTAGCCCTCTTAGAGTTTAGAAGCAGTCCTGTGGTCTTATGACTAAAAGAATTTAAAACATTTAAAAAGATTGGCCTTCATTACCAGTAAATCTGAGCAAGTTTTTTTTTTTTTATATTGATGGTGTAAGTTGTTCATCTCCTTCTCTAATAATCATACAATGTATGTGATCATTTTATGTTTCTCTGAGGTTTATTCTTTCTTTCTCTTTTTACTTCAGCAATTTGCAAAAGAAATACGACAATGGCAAATAAATGTAGATGTAGCAAATGACATGGCACTTAAACTGCTCCGCGATTATTCGGCAGATGACACCAGAAAAGTACAACTGATGACAGACAACATTAATGCGACGTGGGCTGCCATTAGTAAAAGGTAGGATATAAATTCTGCTATTAGATTTGTTGTTAAACTTCATTAACATTCATTGCCCAGCTTTGGTTGGAGATTATAGGCGATATAACTTTTGCAAATGGCATGACTGTAGTGAGAAAGGATCATGACTCTTCTGTAGAATTTTTTGGAAATACGTCTTTGGAATGCCATTTAATTCTCTCAAATAAAGTTTTGCTTCCTGCCAATTTTCCTCTGCTGTAAACAGTTGCTAACTAACTTCAACTGATAGGTATTTAAAATATTTAAAATTAAGTGCTTCATATGTCTGTGTACTATCTCCACATCACAATCACAATAGTTATTTTTACTCATAAACTAAATCTGAAAATGACAGACATCCTATTGAAGCAGATAGAAGAAATGTTACCCTGTACCTTTGAAGCAAATCTCTAGTCAAGAAAGTTTCTGTTAAATCCTTGACCACATTCTTTATTACATTTCACAGTCTTTCAGTGTTTGGTTCAGATTCCAATTCCTTTCTAAAATCAATTTTTTTGCAGCTTGTCTCCAAATTGTGAATCATCCAATAGACAACCTATAAAATTAGAACATATTGCAATAAAAATTACTTTCTTTATAGTGGTAAAAGAATTTTAAATCATTGCACATTAGATGAGATGTGTAAATCTTATATGAAAGTTGTTTCAATCTATTTCTTGGATTAAGCTTTGCAGCTTATACCTGTAAACAGAAATGAATTAGATCTTAACATGTTTTTAATTAAAGTGTATTAACAAGGCCAGAAAAGTCAGTTTAGCTAAATATACAGTAAATTCAGTAGATCTTCTTGCATAACAATAGTTACTTAAATCGCTGATGACTACAGAAATTTATTACCACTTTTTCTCTAATTTGATATTCGTATGAATGAGGCACTTTAAAGGCATTTTTTCTGAGGCAGACTTACCACTGACTTAAGACACTCTTCAAATGAGAGAAGGGATACTACTGATGTCCACTAAAAGAAAGGCAGACAATAATTTGAAAAATTTTTATTTTTAACAAGAGCAATAACTAAACTGAGAATTTAGTATAAACAGTCAATTAATATCTACTTGCATTTCTCCTGTTATAATAGTAGCCATTTTAGCCTTATTAGTAGTAGCCATACTTTTAATAAAAAGCATTTTGCTCTCTGTGGTCTGAGAAGCAGTTTAAGGGGAACATCTGTTTCTGGACAAAAAAGGCTCAAAGGGTTAGAGGGGAGAACCAAAGGAAAGTGGTTTTGTCTGTATTTAGAACTACAACCCCTACTTGATGAGAAGTCCAGGATATGTCTGTAGCTGCTGTGGATGTTCAGGTAGTAATTGTAAGTATGAGAGAATCTTTAAACCTGTTAATGCTTCAGGCAAAGCCCAGGTATGTTTAATGTTACCCAAATGTGAGAATTGCCATTCTTGCTTGTGCTAAGCCAATACTAGGCTAAGAGAGAGTACAGACTCTTAAACATGCATTCTTTGCAAGCTTCTACAAAATACAGAGATGTGGTATCAAGTTGTACCAGCGGAGGTTTAGGTTAGATATTAGAAAGAATTTCTTTACAGAGAGGGTGGTCAGGCATTAGAATGGGCTGCCCAGGGAAGTGGTGGATTCTCCATCCCTGGAGATTTTTAAAAAGAGACTGAATGTGGCACTTAGTGTCATGGTCTAGTAAGCACAGTGTTAGTGGATCAAGGGTTGGACTTGATGATCTCGAACGTCCCTTCCAACCCAGCTGATTTTATGATTCTATTAGAAGTTAGATGTTAGATGAATTACTGCAGTAAATGTTTTCCGTCTTAGAAGAGAGCTGTGTATGTGACTGAGTTGACATTTCACTTTAAGAATTACAAAAGAGGATAGGAGTAAGCTTGAGCAGGTAACTGTGAAACTAGTTTCCTATTTTTTGATTGTATGATGTTACTACTTTTCTAATGTATTTTTAATTCATTTTTTTGTATATAATTTTTGTAAGACTTCTCATGATTTGGTAACTTGAAAAAGAAGCATGCTGCAAACAGTAGTTGATAATCTTCTCTAAGGGCTGGATCACATTTCTGTCTGTCTTTTGTGAGACTGATAAATGTGGACATAGTAAGGCATTAAGTCAGCACAAGAATTTATTGAAAAATTTTCTCCACGTGTAGATCTTTCAGGTTTCTTTGAAGCAGTAACCAGGCCCTTTGCTCATGCAGTGGCTCCTGAGTGAGGTCTTGAAAGAGAATCATAGATTCCTGGAGGGATTGAAAAGCTGTGTAGATGTGAGACTTAGGGCCATTTAGAGGTGGTTTAGAGGTGGGTTTGAGAGCACTGGGTTACTGATTGGACTCAATTATCTCAGATTCTTTTGTTAAACAGCCCTGTGGAAAGAGATGATGGAGTCCATGGTATTTTGGATAACTTAAAATACCAATTTGTTCTGTTTTCTGGGGATGTTTTTCAGTTTGGTTTTCTAGCCCTCCTTCTATGCTTCAGCTTTCAGGTTATTGCATAGAGGGAAAAAAAATAGTGTTTTTATGGTTTGGGGGATCTTTTGAACTGTAAGAGAATATTTACAGAGTAGAAAGTAATTCTACTGACATGTGAATTGTTTAGTCACAGTCTCCAAGAAAGACTAGTTTTCCACTGAGATATGTATGCAATAATTTCAGATATATCCGTGTATGTTACTTTCATTTTAGACCATGAATATTGCTCTAATGACTTGGTGACTTCACAGTGATTTAGAAATACATTTCAAATAATATTCTTTACCATTTTTCCAGTATTTTAGAAGCAGTTTTATCACTGTTTATGCATGTCTTAAGTGCCAAGAGGAAATACTCAGCTGATGATTTTGCTTTCTTCTCTCTATATTGATATTTGAATGGCCTATTTAATTTGAGAATATTTTCTTTTAAAAAGAAAAACTTGCTGACATTGTTTTGAACTGGTTTTCCTTTAATCTGTCAGAATTGTTTGTCAGTGTAATATCAGAATTGTATGTCAGTGTAAGAAAATTTGAAACTTCCTTTTCCATGAACCAAGTTATTAAAACAACAGGCAGGCAAGCAACAGTAAAATTCCACTTTACCTGTTGGTAGTAGTTGCCAAAGCAAGTACTTCAGTCATTAAGGCAACATCTGCTACCTTGTGTTTTGTTTTGCTTAAGTAGATTTGCAGCTGATTGCTGTGTGTTTACCCTTTGCCTTACTATTGTGTTTTATAACATTGAACTATAATGATTACCATTCTCTAGCTCCTTTAATAGCCAAGTTGGTAAGTGCTTGATGGTTGCTTCACCTTTTTTCACTTGCCACTTTTTAATTTTTACCTTTGTTGTTGATATTGCGAGGATACAGTAAAAAAGCATATGAACTAGTCAGTTGGGCAAAAGCCTGAGGGACTTCTAAAGAGGCATCTTCCTCTTGTCTTTAGAAGCATTGACTTTCCAAGAAATAACTATATTATTTAAGCTTAGGCAGCTAAAGAGAAAGTGCTTGCATTAACAAAAATAAATCTAACAGACGAACTGAAGAGTTCTCAAAAGGGAAAAAAAATGCTATGATGGAAGCAATCACTGAAATTTACTGTATTAAAAATGTTTGTTATGGTAGCATTATGATACTACTTCCTTTTGTGGGCACTCATATTTTATGTGAATTATCATATAAAAACATAAACAGTTTCTTAAATTTTCCTTTCCTGGGAACCCAGAAAAAGTGTTAAATATCACTGACTAAATACTAAGCTAAGCAGGGACTTAGATCTTTCTTACATGGAGTATATATTGTGACAATAATTGCATAACTTATTCTGAGAACTGTTTAATATTCCAACCCACCCCTGTCTAATAGACATCTTGAAATTTTTGCATCACCTGCCAGTTCCTGTGATCAAGTTCAATGGAGCTCAGGCCACACAGTAGGTGTTGAGAGTTTTCACTGCTCAACATGCTTGTTTTTGGCTCCTGAGACAAGACAGAGGACACACGTCAATCAAAACATAAAAAGTGACTTCCTTTTCTACATTAAAGGATATGGACAGTGAAGAATCAATATATAATTACTTTTATGTTGTTACTAGTTTAAGTTGTGCGGAGTTTGACAGGGAGTGGCAGGAGGTAGAGAGAGGTAGCTGTGTTTATAAACCTCTTTGAAAGACCTGAGTTACCAACTCCCATATTTTATTATGAATGTTGTTAATTCTCCAATGCAGCAGTTTTATAAACACCTTGATTTTGCATGTCAGCTAGACAGTATGAAATGCAAATGGCCAAACAAATTAAGGACATAAAAAGTACAAAAGTATGATGCATATGTTTCCTATGTAAATGCATAATATAACAGTAATTATAAGTGTGAAAAAGGTCATAACCTAGATTTGGTCTTTGAGCAACAAAGTATTCCTTATCAGTGGTTGCTTGCTATAAAAATACAATTTTTAAAATGTAAACTTTATCTGTACATGAAGTTTGTAGATATAATTTTATTAACTGCACAGAAAGAGCTTGATCATTCTGCTGGAGACAGATTTTCTTAATACTCTGTAACTGTCCTAATAGTGCTTTACTTTATGTTGCTTGTGGTAGTAGTCACATTTACTTTACAGTTGAATTACATTCTAGGTGAGAAGAACTGCATTTACACGTCAGCAACAGCCAGAAGTGTGAATTGTATTGAGTTATACTGAAGATTCATAGTTGGTTTCAGTATCTAGACTGTATGTAGGAACCATCTCACAAGAGCTTGTTTATTCATTAGGCTTGGAATGCTCAGGTCAAGCAGCAAAGGATTCACATTCTCAAGCAAACGCATCCTTTTCCTTTCCATTCTTCAGTTGTTTAGAAGCTTGGTTGTCATTCCTACAATCATAGAATCATAGAGAATCATAGAATCGATTGGGTTGGAAAAGACCTCCGAGATCATCGAGTCCAACCCTTGGTCCAAATCCAGTCCATTTACTAGATCATGGCACTCAGTGCCACGTCCAATCTGCGTTTAAAAATCTCCAGGGACGGT